TTCCCAAGGAAGGGGAACGAGCTGATAACCCGCCTGAAGGGTGTGTGACCCTTTACCTAAAAATGTTCGAATATAGTTTTCGCCTTCCCGTTCACCCTTTAGTGCAGGAGTTCCTATTTCAAACTGGATTAGCGCCTGCTCAGGTGGCCCCCAATGGATGGGGAGTCATCTTCAGTTTAGTCGTTTTATTCTAGCTTAGATGTAGGGAAGTGGACGACCTGGACCTCATCGGAGTCGACCAGCTTCTAGCTTGCTTCGAGGTTAAACGAATCTCTAGAAAGCCTGGGAGATACTACCTGTGCGCCAGGAAAGGCACATGAGGTATCTTAAAGGGTCCAACCTCCATAAAGAAGTGGGTTGAAAAGAGGTTCTTCGCCTCTGGCGCATGGCTGGCCARGAACGAGTCCGACCTGYCTTTCTTCAACGTCCCCTATAGATTTGGGAACTTAGGTAAGAAGTAGAGTCCTTACTTGCTTTTCTTTGTTTCTCTACATTGTTTTAACCCCTAACCTTACCAATTTTAGTCGTTATAAGACCGATCCCTCAACTTTCCGAGCCGACCTTCAATGCTTTAAAATTTTTTAAAAGCAGATTCAAGAGTGGCAAGCAGATCAGCATGCTTATCACTAACAAGCTGCTTCTTTCCTCCTGACTGCTCGACTACCATCCTCTTCTATCTCCATCCGAATCTCAGAGRCCAAACTCCGAACGAGGTCAGTTGATTTTGAATGCTTTTATGCTTGATATCGGATGCTTTTCGTGCCTCGTGGTTAACTCACCATTGTTTCTCTTTGCAGTGATGGTTTGTGGTTTCTCCCAGGATGTCTGGCGCAAACGCCCACGCGCTAGGCAAGACTTCTTAGAGCAAGGGGGCACCTTGCTCTACTGTCGCTGACCCTCCCACCGAGGTCGAGGTGATTGAGGTCGGCCGTGAAGCTACTCTGACGTGGGAGGCGACCGTTGTTGGAGCCTCTCTGGATCACGAGATCCTTGAAGTTTCTTCTCCTAAGGAGATTCGGGGGAAAGCTTCCCCCAAGAAGTCCAAGAAGAAGAAGCGTAAAACTCGCCACCTATTAATGTAATATCATCTTTTTAAACTACCTTTTAAGTCTGTCACTTATTTTTTCCGAATTCGCCTCCTCTATTTTACCTTGCACTCAATTTCTACTAGTCTTTAAAGGTTCTGACCTCTCTATGTCTTGATTCATATGTTACTTCGAACTCATAAGTTTCGAAGGTCCGAATTTAGTTATGAAGGTTCAAATTTTCCAATTCTTAAATAAGCCTTAATTCACATCTCACCTCGAACTCGCAAGCTCTAGAGGTTCGAATTTTTCTAGGTTTTAATCAACATCTCACCTCGAACTCGTAAGTTCTAAACGCTTGAATTTTTCTAAGTTTTACTCCACCTCTGGCCCCCATTTAATTTCACATCGGACTCGCACCCTTAGGAGACATGAAATTAAATAACACRGAGTCCTTTACTGGGATTAACCATTGAAAATTTTTACAAGTCCAACTCATTTTTGGACTGTTTTAACATTTCAAGGGTAATATCTCTTCAAATGCTATGCATTCCATGGGTGCAAGAGTAGCTTTCCTTCGAGATCGGCCAGCATATACGTCCCAGGTCGGACTATGCCCTTGACTTCGAATGACCCATCCCAACTTGGCTCCGACACCTCGACATGCTTCTGCACTTTATGCAGGACCAAGTGTCCGACCTTAAAACTCCAAGGTCGGACTCTTAAGTTGTAGTGCCTTGCCATTCGATTTTGATATTCCGCCAAACGTAGATATGCTGCCTCCCTTTTCTCATCGACGAGGTCGAGGTTGAGGAGTAGCTCCTCCTCGTTCCTAGCTTACTCATAGTAGTCTACTCTCTCCGTTGGCATCCCAATTTCTACGGGCACTACGACCTCGGACCCGAAGGCCATGGAAAAGGGAGTTTCTCCAGTGGACTCCCGAGGCGTAGTTTGGTATGACCTGAGACTTTGAGTAGCTCCTCGGCCCATCGTCCTTTCCTGGCGTCAAGTCGTACCTTAAGGCCGCGCTTAATGATCTTGTTGATCGCATCCACTTGTCCGTTAGCCTTAGGGTGAGCTGGAGACGAGTAGAGGTGACTGATTCCAAGCTTGTGGTAGAAGTCTTTGAACTTGGCGTTGTCAAACTGCTTGCCATTGTCAGTCACAATAGCATTGGGTATACCAAAACGATAGACTACATTTGTCCAAATAAAAGTCGTGACTCTAGCCTCCGTGATTGTCGAGAGTGCTTCAGCCTCGGCCCATTTGGTGAAGTAATCTATGGCAAAAACCGTATACTTGGTCTGCCCCTTGCCCAATGGGAAAGGCCCGATAAGGTCAGCTCCCTATTGCGCAAAGGGCCACGATGCTGAGATCGGAGTCAGCAGCTCGGGAGGTTGGTGGACAAGATTTGCAAAGCGCTGGCAATTGTCACATGCTTTCACATACTCCTTTGCGTCTCGGTTTATCGTGGGCCAGTAGTAACCTTGACGAATGATCTTTACTGATAAAGACCTGGCCGCTGAGTGGTTGTGCAGACACCTTCGTGAACCTCCCCAAGAACGTATTTGCCATCTTCTTTGGAAGTACATTTA